CAAGTGATTACGCCGATGCATCCACGTGACCCAATAAAGTTTCAATAAACTTTATTCGACTTCAATTCGAGTAACAGTCACCAAACCCATCATTTATTCAACAAATAATCACTAACCAGGATCGATCTAGGTGGATACCATGGTGTACTCTCATCGCTCATCCAAAATGCTTCATCACTGCTTACCGATTGCATTTCACTCAAAAGACTGTCGATCCACAACGTTTCACTGCAAATGCACTTGCAGTTTAATTCGCAAAAAATTATCAGCAAAAAATGTGCAATATTAATCATCACAATCACGAACATACAATCTTGCCACCTTCAAAATTTTCAATCTATTACTGGCACAATCTTAAATACAAAAAAGTTTCTCGCTTCTACAAAATTTACATTAAAAATATAAATACTTCACATTACAAGATATTCCGAAAGAAACCCAAAACAAATCGCAACTCAATGGCTCCTTACCCGTTTTGTCTCGCCACTGCATCACATCGTTCATAATTCTTCTGCATCTGCTCTCTCACTCTACGGAATCCGTTCATCTCGGGCAACAGCTGTCTTTTCCATAAGAACAACACCAGTTGCGAGTAGAGTGCCAAATTCGAAGAAGCACGATGATGACACTCAAATTCCGCCTTCTCTGCATCGTTCACTAAAAAATCAATCAAAAACTAAACAACCTTTCGGCAACGATTCCACTCAATAATGACCGTTAATCAATCTTCGTTCACATTAATGATCAGCACAACAATCGATATCATTTCCAATATGCAATGCACAAAAATGACACTCGTTAAAAAAATTATTCTGTTAATGATTCCTTGAAAGAATCGAAATCGATCGCAATTACCATCAGCGCCACTCAACCATCATATTTCCCAGTCTCTTCACATCGCATTCAAATGAATATTCATTATTCAGGCTGTCATCTCCCTCTATTCGAAACATAAATTTAAAGCACTAACCAGCATCAGTTTTAGTTGCTATACTTGCGAACAGAGTCTTAGTGATGGTCAGAAGTGAAACGATGCCACCCATCGAAACGATCGCCGGTCGCGATAAATCCGTCGATAAACTTCCAAACAATGGTGATGCTGAAACGAAGAATACAAAACAATAATAACAACAATCCATTTCGCTTCTTTCACAGCTAAAATCAGCAACTAATTACGCGCAATAGATACTTTAACTACTTTTAGCATATCAGTCACCCCAAACGCTTAATCATTTACTCCTCAATATAAGCAAACAATATAGAACTTCTACACTCCTCAATATAAGCAAAAAAAAACATTCAAATCTTACATAATTCATCGAATCTAGACTTCGCGTACTCGACTTCGTCCCAGAGTTGTTTCGCTAATCGATTTCTGGCGTTTATGTTCGATGTGGTCTCGATCCATTTCTTGAGCGCTCTTCCGCGTTGATGATATATTAATGCTGACACAACCAACGATGTCTCTGCGTTCTGCAATCCATTTGGTATGTATTCACTCATTCATTCACCATATTCAACTAGTCAAAAGCGCTCATTTCATTGAAAGATTTCAGTTGTTTACGTTGCACAAGCACTAGTGCAAGACAACAACAAGAATATTATTCACACTAAATGCATTCAAAATACCTCCGAATTGATGGAGACCGTCGAGTTGGCGTTCGCTAAACCAACTGCTGAGATCCATTCGGAAACCGTATTCGGTCTACAGTTCATCACTTTATCAATATGTAATTCCGCGTAATTCAACACCTGGAATTCGTTGAGAAGAACGTTACGACTGAATAGGATCAACTAAAACGAAGGACATCGAAATGAAGTGTAACTAACCTCTTCTTGAATGGAATGTATACTGATTGTGTAAGTATGCGTGGCGGTGATAACGTTCAACGAGAACGTCAACGTGGACGGGTAGAACAACGCATCGTTCGTATCACTGAACACACTCCCGAAACGCGTTATCGAACTCGCATTTGCCACCACATCCTGAATTGTTCACGATTACTTGTGCATATTGCATCACGCTCCCACATTTCCCATCAATCTTTCATAAACAATACGAACGCAATGAAATGATTTCAGTTTCTCTTCACTTGAACATTCGTTTTTTCACAATTTCACCGCAAACATCTTTACTCACCTTAACCAAACATTCAATTTTTCTAATCATATGAATCCGTAAGTAGTTTTTGGTAATTATCAGAAGACAACAACAATATGTTGCGGTTCATTACTTTATCAATATGTAATGCACATTTACAAGATATTTTGTGCATTAATCACCAAAAATATTTTGCACATTCACTTACAAGAGGCAATCCGAACTGAATTTGTTTAGGATTAGCCAACGTGAAACGCGATATGAATGCGTTTTGATGCGCGATTGTTGAGTCGAAAAGAACTCTCTGAACGAGTCGTTTATAATAGAATGCGTTCAGATCGAATAGGGCACCCTGAAAATACATTACCATACTTCACTTTAAGTTACCTCACACATGATCTCTCACTAAAATGTATCTTTTTGATTCAAATCTATTAAAATATCCAATATCAATAACCAATATTAAATGCACGCAAATATAAAAATAAACCTCAGCATTCGCCGTCGACTCATCAATCCATGTCATCAACAGCAACGTGCTGTCCACACCCGAAGTGTGACGAGATAATCCCTCGCAAATTGGCGAACGACTGAAATTCAATTCGTTTCATTCACTAAAAACAACTGAACAAACATCGGTTTCATTAAAAACGTCATTCAATCTACTATTAGCTAAGCTATCAAATGCATCCAATTTCAAATGAACCAGCATTTTCCCTATACAACTATACCGATAAACTATCCATACTTATATAATCGTAAGTATAATATCGCTAGTGCTAGTTCCTTTCAGTTCTAGGGCACAAACTGTGAACATATGAAAAAAGCGTTCCAATTGGCAACTGCAGGGAATACACTAGAAGAATGCGTCGAGTAACACCCTACCTATGCATAACAATCTACTAATTTCTATTGCTAAAGATAGCTACAAATATAAATCAATAAAATGACTTCAATGGAATTCATAAATGTAAAAATGCAGTTTCAAAACGATCGTCACCTCTCGAGGGATGTTGATGACGACGACGAAGCGCAACCGATAGCGGACCGTTCGAATGAATCACTTTGGAATATCGTGCGAAATGACAACCAACGACTGCACTTGTCTGGATACCACTGAACAAAAATTGATGTGAGCAAAATAAAAGAGATCGACTCGAAGCGATTTACTCACTCCACTCAAACTGATGCATCTTTATAAAAGTCCACAAAAGATGACACCTGACTTCACCAACTGACAAAAACCCACTGAAGACGTCAAAATTCTTGTTAACTGAATGTAAATTGATATGAATGTTTTCACTTAAAAAGTGTAAATAATTAAAAGTTTCCAAGTAAAATGAAACTGATAAATGAAATTCACCATAAGATGAGGTTGTTGGATGAATGGCGTTGTGAGAAGATCAGATTTTTCATCGTTGGGGAAATCAACCCGTACAAGCACGATTTGGGGACGGTGGGCTCGTGATGATAGTGATCGCCTTGAAAAGGCCACAAAAAATTAATTGAATCACTTTGATGGCTTCATGAAGAATGAAAATCTTGACGGATCATCGATAAATCCCACATATCATGTAATTATGTACTCGTAAAATCCATCCAGTCGACATTTCGTTTCAAACAACTCTCTACACTAACGTACACTATAGCAAAGTTCAATAGAACTGATCAATTAGAACGTCAAATACAAAAGATAATGTTAAGTATTAAAATCAAGCTTGTTGCAAATAATATTGCTCAACTGACGACGTAAGATACTTCTTCAATAGAATATACAAACTGAAAAGATACCCGGATTTAACAGCCGAATGTGCGAACCACAGATAAATCACTGGATGAGGATCGTCATTTGCCTGTTGGTACGCGATCGAGAAAACTGATCCTTTCGAGAAGTAATACACATCACTACAATATCACAGGCATTTCAGTATAAGCATGCATTAGAACTGCACATATCAATGACCAATTCACCTCCTTCTTATTCGATTACCCTTTCAACAGGCGAACCAATAAACTAAGCCAACGTACTCAATCGTTTACACAAAACGCAAACTCGAAAACTTCATTCAATTTTATA